TGATATTATTTTTCGATACGCCTGATATATTTAGACGAGTGCGGAAAGAAACTTCGCTCGCACGTCTCTTAAACGTGCGCGCCCATCAGCAACGTACTTTCGCTAAATTTTCGAATAGATTGGCCGCTCGATCGGATTCGTGAGACTGTGTTACCATATTTTTTGTCAAAATGTTGGAAAACGGAACGTCAATGTCCGAATTGGTGAGTTACTTTGTATACTCTTGAGCAGAAATTGACAAATATTAAAGCACTTTTGTTAGTGATGTTTCACCTTTTTGTTTTTTAAAAAAATGTATGTATATATAAAATGTTTGATAAATTAATAAAAATATCGAAAGATTTTTTCACTTATTGAAAAATAGATTACATAATTTCTTTACGAATCGAGCATCAGAGAATGTAAATTTTTTTTTATAATTATATCAATGAATCAATTCCAATGAACTGAATTAATAAAGTTCCACTTTAGAACTTGATATTAAAAAGCATACGTTATATTGACGATTGCTAATGAATAAATAATAATTGAAAATTGCAAACCTTCCTCTATATAACAATTTTTAAAGAAAAATTAATTGCAAAATAATCATCAGACTAATTATTATATAGATAAAAAATTGTGATATATAGATCAAAGCAGAATATATCATAATTAAATAACACTGAATTACAAAAATTCTGTTTCTCCATATTCTCTTAATTTTTACGAAGATTTTTATGTATTTGTAATTACTGAAAAAGAATATAAGATTAAAAAATTCTATCGCTTACAGATTTTGAATAATCAAGGACTTTATTTTGAACAAAAAGTATAAATAATTTACAACTTTTTTCTTTTACTTTATTTACGGAGTAAACTCATAAGAATCATCATTCAGATTTGAGTAAATCTTCTTAGCTAGAAATAAACGTCAAGTGATATTGACTCAACATCGATTCAATGTCGATCCATGTTGAATCAGTATAGATTTCTCCTTCATTTTTAGCTGTAAATTAAGTGAAACCGTTCGATAATAAGTATTGCCAATAAATTTTATTATTTTATGTCGCTTAAAGTTGTACATTATAAAAGAAACTTCATATCATCACATTTATTTTCATTGTAAAAGAAAGGAGGATATCTTAAAATGGCCAAAATTCTCTCCAAGTAGAAACCTAAAAAAACGAAAATTTTTTCATAGTATTTTTTAGTACATATGAAAGAGAAAATTAACATGATAATGCTGAGAAGTGCTGTACAAATTGCTGATAACAAAATGTTTTATTGTTATCAGTAATTTTCATAACACTTCGCATTATTATAATAAATGCGTACATATGTTTCGGTTTTCTTTACTTCTGTACAATCAGACGTAAAGGGCATTTATCATGGAACAAAGTCTGAATAGATTCCGATCGGAATTGTTCCATTATTTCCTAGATTTCTATTGTGTTTTCTAGGGAAAACAGAATAATTCCGATCGGAATCCATATCGACTTGTTCCATGATAGGTGCCCAGCATATATTCTAATATCTATAATATATCTATATAAATATATAAATATATTAAAATATATACAAAATATTTTTAGGTGATATTATATGTATACAATGTTATTCTTCTCTTTCACATCAAGAAACACTATATGGAATTCGTTTTTAGATGTTTATGGCGAATTTTGGCCATTTTTAGGTACCCTCCTTTATAGTTACA